GAGGGCTCTGGAGTAGGAGCTGATACAAACAAAATAAGGAACAACCACCCAGAGGCAATTTCCCTTTCTCGACAAACAGCTTTCACGTCTTTAAAGGGGTCTTTCAGGACAGCATTCAACACTGTACCACCCCCAAAAAATTCAGATGTGGAAAGTTCCTTTGGTGGGAGAGGGACATGGACAACCTTCTAGAAATGCATCCCGGAAATCTATATTAAAGCGACCACCTCCTCTGAGAGTGTTGGTGGGGTAAATAGCCTGAAATATGTATCTCCTCCCCGTTTTATCTTTTCACAGAGCCCAGTGTTCAAGGCAAACTGTCACGTAAAACCAGATACCTCTTAGGTACGTGCTCTATCTAAATATTAAATGTGTCTTCAAAACTACCCGGGGCTGCGAAATCGTCATTACCTCCAGGCACAGCTAACTAAAGTTCATGGCTGTGAGAGGAGGAGTCCCAGGAGGCTGGATGGAGACCTTAAGTTACTGGTAGTGAGGCCTTGAAAAACACGATGGGCACGAGGAATCTCTGAGCCACAAAACACAGCAAACACTCATGAAGTAGTCCACATAAGTTCAGGGGGTTATGCCCTGGTCGCCCATACACCCCAGGACCTTCCGTGCCTGAAACTCACCCTGAGGGTCACTCAGGACCCCTCGTGCCTGAGCACACTCACTGCTATTCCTGAAGCTCTGTGCCCCACACCACTGCAGTTCACGACTGCCAGGTTCAATGGCGCCTGGCCTCTGTGCTGCATGTGGCAGGCTTTAGTAAGTCCTTGCAGCCAACCTATGAAGTGGCTGCGCTGGTTATGAGCTCCACACAGCAGATGAGGACACCTGTCCCAGGTCACAGGCCTTGCACGCTCACCTGTCTGCCTCCACCTCCCACTACTGTCTGCAGAGACGGGTCCCGGGATGGGGTTCACTGCCAGGCCGAGCCAGTGAGTTGCCCGCAATGAGCTCAGCCTGGGCCAGCCTTCCCAACTGATACAGATGCTTCCAAACTCACACCGACCAGTCTCTGGAACCTAGACTAGTTCAGCAAACAACGCCCACCCTCGAGCCCCCCCAGTAAGGAGTAGCCCAGGGCTCCCTGCCTGGCCAGAGGGCCCCAAGTGTCTTGTAGCAGGGATTTTATGGCCTGGATGGCATGATTAT